AAAAAAAAAAAAAAACACACACAAAATATTAGCATGCAGAAGGAAGAGGGGAGAATAATATGGAAAATATGATAATGCTATTATGTAAATCAGTAGCATGGCCTCACCGGGAATACTGTCTGCAGTTCAAGTAAGCCTTTCTCAGAAAGGGCTGATTAGGGGCATGGCAAACTCGCTCACAAAGAGAGATCGAAATGATTGGGGTTGTTTATCTCAGAAAGGAAATGAACAAGAGGAGATTGGCATTGAGCAAGCCAGTCCGGAGCTTCTGGTTTTCCTCCTGCTCAATTCTATCGCTGTCGTATCTGGTGTTGCTGAGAAGTGTGTGAAGTGATGTGGCTCTCCTCTGTCACACAGTTTGCTCTTTCTCTCACTCTCTTCCTCATGGGAGGCATGGCACATGCGGGTTATGTTTTGTTAGGATCTAGGGAGGAGGAGATGGCTACAGAGGAATAATTACTCCCCACAGTAGGCATATAGCAGAGGAGGTGAGAATGGAAAAGGGGAATTTGCACCTGGACAGGGGGGCAGAAGGTCCTGTTATCGGGAGGCAAGGAGCATTGAGCATCTCCTCAGGCAGAGCCCAGAGAGGCTGCCAGCTACTGCCCTTCTCCTAGAGTGCTTGAGACATCCAGACCAGGCCCTGGGGTTCCTTGAAGATAAATATAAGGAACTTCAATTTGATAAGTTATTCTGTAAAAAGCATCAGGGTAGTCAGAGGTACCTTCGGACACGCAGCATTAATCCACCGCTCTCTGCCTCCCCTGAAGCACCGAAGAAACCTTCCCTATTTACCCCGCATTACCCTTGGCAGCCAGCACACAGAGCAGGAGACGACCGTAACCGCCTGTGCTGTGGATGTTGACTCGCTGCAGCATGCTGAACTCTCCCCTTTCTCACATGAAGCCATCTGATGGCATTCAGGCCCATCAAAGTCAGAACAACAAAAGGAAGTAACTGTTAGTCCTAAATGTGCTCCTGGCTGTGGGGAGCACATTTAGAATCATGGAATCATCTAGGTTGGAAGGGACCATCGAGTCCAACCATCAACCTATCACTGCCAAAACCACCACTAAACCATGTCCCTAAGCACTACCTCTACCTGTCTTTTAAATACCTCCAGCAACAGCGATTCCACCACTTCCCTGGGCAGCCTATTCCTATGTTTGAGAACCCTTTCTGTGGACAAATTTTTCCTAATAACCAATCTAAACCCCCCTTGGCATAACAGGCACATGGAACTGCTGAGGCCGACAGACCAGCCCATTTCGCCACAGCAGACAAAGCCCAGGCTGCTAATGAGACCTTCCATGGTGGAACAAGCCCGGTGTCCCAAGGGGGGTTCAGTGCAGAGGCCCACCTAGACCTCAAGGGCAGCTGCAGGCCTCAGGGGGAAGGGGAGACTTCTGTCCCCACCGTGCTGATGGCTCAAGCCGAGGTGGGAAGCATCTGCTCCACCCTCGGCTGCCCAGGCGCAGGCTGGGTCCCTCCAGACCGCACTGTCGGGGTCCCACTCCCCCCCTGCTCCCCTCAGCCCTTCCCCACAGCCATCCAGGGTGTCCCTGGCCTCTTCCCCAAAGCCGTCCTCGCTGAGGAAGCCGCCTCATCACCGAACTCGTCACCCCTTGAGGGAGAACGGCCGCCTCAAACCAGCCCAGCGCCGGGCCAGGCCT